GTAAATCACAGCGCCTATAAATGTCGAATAGTGGGTATGTGCGTGCGTGGTGAGCGCGCTCGCGCCTTTTTTTCGGTTATTCGTGATTGATTATTATTGAATTCATGAATGCGTTGTGCATCTCTCGTTCACCGCTTTATTTATTATTCATGCATTGATTCGTAGTTATTCACCAGTAATTTTTAATAATAGAAACAGAGCGAAAAAAGCAATCATGAAGCAAAAGGTCCCGTTTACTAGCGGAAGCGAATGAGTGAATGGACGAGAAATAAATAAAGAAAGCACCAGCCACTGTAAATGGGGCAATCGTAAACGAAAAAAAAAACATCCGATCGAAGCAAACGAAAAATGAAATAAAATAAAAAAGAATGGGCACAATTTCCCTAGGCACAACTTCCATAGTGCCAGCGCCTGATGATCAATAAAATCCCATTTCATATAATAAAATGTGAATTATGCCTGAACAAGGAGATCCAATCCACCAATGTGCCACGACCGGCACTACCGTCACCGCACAATGACTGCGTAAAAATTGATTGACTTTACGTTATTTTGGCCGCCTCCGTGTTCCATCCCATGTACACTTCGATGTTGAACAGATCATTTTCCCCGTACATACATATATCGGAAACTTTCCAATATTTTGTTTATGTTTGTGTTTTATGTCTAAGGATATTTTCATGTTGTTCCATCGCCGATGGCATCACACTGTCGATGCGCTTTCAAAACGAACTTAAATATTGACTTTATTAGTTCATATACAGTTTATTTTTTGTTCGTTGACTCCCTCATCGATAATTTTGCGATGTGAAAGCCTCGTGAAAATGAATCGTATGGGTATGTTATGCTTGCAAACACACACACACACACACACGCACACACACACATGAACGATTCACATAGTGGCTCAAATGTTTTACTGGTTTAATGTGAAAATTGGCAAAGTGTTGGGGCGAAACAACTGCCGAAATATTGTTGGCCCAACAACGGCGCCAAAACAAAAGAGAGAGAGAGAGAGAGAGAGTGGGAGAGATCAACTTTTCGTACGCACACGTCAAATTATTTCGCAAATTAACAATTTGATTTTAGGAACTCGGCTGCTTTTTTACACATTCAACCCAATATGTGTATATGTGTGTCGTAGATGCTTGACTTTTGGCTGCCTGTAACGAGAACACGCTGAACCATTGAACTGAACAAAGGCAAGAGATTCGCATTTCCCAGCGATTGCCAACAAGCTTTTGCACCTGCATAACTAATATCGATGCCATCGACATGTACACATATATACAGTGGATTTGTGTGCTTACAACCGGAAGATCTGTGTATTACAATGCTTTTGAGCTGCAATGTGTTTGAAATATTTTACACACACACGCTTGAGGATGCGATATCGAATGCAAACTTTCTTGATAGCTCCCATTTGTTCGCCATCACGTTGAAGTTGAGTTCAGAATGGGAATTCTTTTGAGCAACATCGAATGCTTTGTCTGTTGTAATTAATGTAATTTCGGTAGCAACGCAGCAAGTCGAGTAGTTGAATCGGCTTTGCGCTGATTTTCATACCAATTAAAACCCCACACTACTTGACGATGAATGTGATGGTTCACATCCGGCAGCGTATATTCAAACAGAGAGAGAGAGAGAGAGAGAGAGAGAGAGAGAGAGAGAGAGAGAGAGAGAGAGAGAGAGAGAGAGAGAAAGGATTTAAACCATTAGAACACATCGCAAGTAGGTCATGCGTACCGAAAAATATTTTGTGATTTCGATTTGTAATTTCACCGTTTTCTCTCACTCCCTTTCTCTCTCTCTCTCTCTCTCACGCTCTGGCTGTTGTTTTCTCTCTCGTTTTTGTTTTTCTCTATGCACTTTGCCTTGGTTTGTTTCAACAAACACGAATCTCATTCCGCCAAAGCATTCGAGTTCAGTGGCATTCCATTATTTGCCTTGCGACAAAACACAAACGTGCAACTTTCCAAACTAGTTTTTTACCCTTTGTGAAAAAAGAGCACCAAATTATGCTCTATTTTAAATGCAAAATTATTCCAAATGTTTAGTTGGTTACGACAGACAACAGAAAAAAAATGGAAAAAAACGGCAACTTTGGAATTCATTTCGCATTGGCTTTGCGCTTCGCTTCGTTTTAGCAGTAATTTTTGCACAGCTCCAAATTTAATGCAATTAAAATAAAAAGAGTGCAATAAAATCTACTGCAACGCAGTGTATTACTTCAATTCATTTGATGGTTTTTGGCAATAGGTTTTTTTTCTCGTTCATTGTTGCTGGTGTTCAATGAGCACTGGTCATGAAAAAAGTGGTCGTTTCTTAGCAAATTGTCATAATTCGTTCAAATTCATGTGATTTCAAGCGTGCATAGAAGAAAAAATTGAACGAGAAAAAGCAGAGTGAAGGAGAGAGAGAGGGAGGAGCGAGATTGAGAATGTGGAATTGTTCAGGACTTGTTTCGATCATTCTGTTTGTTGTCAATTTCGAAATGCAACGAACTTGTTTTTTAGAATTGCATTAATTGAGTGAAGTCCAAATGCAATTTACATTGAAGTTGCAAACTAATCCAGCGATGAAGCAGCTAATCAGCAATGCCCGGCACATATAAAATGGTAAAAGTATCGTTTCACCAAATAAAAGCTACTGAGCGAGTGAACGAACGAATGAAAAGCGCCATTAATATGCGATTATACCGAAAAACTCATCTCGCCGGAACAATGGAGCACGCGAAAAATACAACTGGCATTCAACAAAAAAAAATTAACACTATCTCAAACGATCGAATAGGTGCGAATCAAGCAACTAAACACACCACCACAAGTGATGAATCCAGTTGAACTGAACGAAACAGATGCAAGCTTTCAAAAGTACAAACCAACATCCAATGATGATGATGATGGTAGTGGTGTACTGAAAGAGCTGTTACCATGTTAATCCTTGTCGCCATAAAAATCTATGTCAATGCAAATTGGTGTGTGTGCATGGTCTGAAATCGTCGGGCAAGTTTTCCGACTAACACTTTGTCGATTTGCATTTGGAAATATAAAACAAAAAACTAAACACACGAGTGGAAGATCGAGCGAGAGATGGAGACGCGCCATTTCAAACGGCTTAACGTTATTGTTGCGTCAAATGATCTTGACTCTGATGATGGTTGTGTTAAGTTGAGGACATTAAATGCCGTCTGAAATTCGTTTCCCCAACGCTAATAGTAGAAAAGAGACAAATGAACGGTTTGGCGTTGTTTTTAAATGAAATTTGCAGAAAATAGAGAAGTTTGGACCTTCAGCATAATTGCTAATGGCCGAGAACAATATAATATGAATATCAAGTAAACTCGAATCATAACCGAAATTTACATAAAATATGAATCTGAATGCGTTTTGTTGCTACCAGTCTTTTTTATTCTCTCTTCATGACGGCGTGGTGTGGCGTCGTTGATGCTGCTGCTGCTGTTGTTGTTGTTTTTGTGCAGTAAACTGAGCGTAAATTTTATCCTGATTAATTCATAAATAATATCCACATTCATTATTCGGTTTTGGGTGAATTTAGATTGAATTTATTCACGTGTGAGTTGATGTCTAGGAATTGCGACTCGGCCGAATTATTTAAATCATTGCAATGAAATTTACATAATTCGTCGTCTCGTTTGCAAAGTGTGTCTTTGGCCATAGATCTTGTTGTTTGAGTCGCAAACCCGGAGGATTTCTTCTTTCATGTCAGTCAAAGAGGGTTTGAGGCGAAACAACGGTGATTAGTGAAACGGCGTTTTGTCAACGGGTTATTGTACTATCTTAGTTACTCACTCAACCTGGGTGTGATGCTTAATTCGATCATCACAACCTCCTTGAGTGAGCGATTAAGTTGGAACACAATCAACAGTCCCCAATGGATTCTCAACGGAATACACCAAAATGCATCGACAGTGCACTGGACAGTAAGTATATTGCGGTTTTGACAACACAAAATGGCCAAAGACTAAATAACCAAAGAAAAACTCACACACAAACAAAAAACACCCGCATCGATTTGGTAGTTAAGATTACGAAAACTTAATTTTTCGTTGTTCTGACATTTTGTTGCATCGAAATTTTACACACAATTACATCTCGATTATGAAACTAGGGGCTTCTATGTCCATTTGGCATTCGAATTTTTATTCACAAATTCGCGCTCAGTGCCATGCATTCGCAACGCTGCCATATGATTTCTATGTAAACATTCGCACTCGCATTCGTATTTCGCTGTTCTCGAACGTTCTCACGAATTTGAGTGCGAATTTTTACATAGAAAACATACGGCAGCGTTGCGAATGCACGCACAAACACGAATGAACGAATGAATTATGTAGTCACAAGTTCGCTGTCATAGCCGCATTCGTCGCATTCGCAAACATTCGAATTTTTGTTCTGAAATGCGAATGCATTCGCAGCATTGGCGAGAGATAAATCCCCTTAGTTATGAAAGTCATTTGAAGCGTGCACGCAAGAGAGAGAGAGAGAGAGAGAGAGAGAGAAGGCGAAAAGAAAGAAAAAAACACCCAAAATATGCTGAATGCATAAAATTTACTGTTTTTGAGTGCAACTTTATCATTGCCACAGCACTTAAAAGCCATGTTGATCTCAAACTAACTGACTCAAGTGCTTAACCGAAAATACTTCCGAAATGAAACACACACACACACACACAAACACACTTACAAACAGAAAAACATTGGCACAATGAACAAAAAAAGATCCAAACGTCGCAACAAAGTTAGGCTTAAGCTCCGAAAAGAGTTTTCATATTTTTAATCAAATTTGTTTCATGATTTATGAACCAACATGTTAAAATAGAAAAAAAATAGTATAAATTATTGTCCGAGAAAGTTGCGAAAAAAATAGGAAAAATAACGGGAAACTCGTGACTCCGGCAAAATCCCTGCGATACAAAACGATGCACAAATGTTGCGTAATAAACTAAAAAATTGTTTCTTTTTTCTGCTTTATTTATAGTTTGGTGAATCAAACGATGGCCGATTTGGATGTTGGACGAGTTCGGCAAATCCTAAGCGAAGCGCTCGATGTTTGGTCACGTGGATCTCGTTTAACATTCCAAGAAGTGTACAGCAAAGATGCCGATATTCAAGTTTTATTCGCACGGTAAGAAAAATGTCCAAATCCAAATAAAAAAAAAACAAAAACTTCGACTCACAAATCCAAAGACACACGAAAAGTGAAAGACAGGAGAGGAGCGGTAACAGAGGACCAAAGCCAGATTTGTTTGGTCGTAAACTATTTTTCACTTTCGAAACGCTTTGTTGGCATGTTACAACAGTGAAGTGGCAATAAAATTAGGTTCTATAAACATTTTTGATCGAAAAACTTTCGCACGACAACTGACGTAAAGGTTAATTTGAAGCGACCACAAGAAAACGAAGTCACAGCCAAGCAAACAACAATAACGAAAAAAAAATCCGGTAGCACGATACATTTATCAAAAAATTGGTGTGCATTCGATAAGGGAAAATGATACTCTTCGATTCTAGCCCTCTGCCTTCTTTGGTAGTGAGATGGGGTGAGCGAATGACCTTTTTAGTACAATGATTACACTTTTCGCATTCCATTTGAAGAAAAAAAACCACTTTTCCCTCTCCATCATTTTGTTGGTGTGTATCACACTGACACACTGTTTCCCAAAATCTCAGCGCGAGACGCTGATCCGAACCGAATTCGGTTTCACCGTAAGTTTCATTGCTGTCACTTAAATAAAATCTAGCGGAATTTACACCCAGCCCCAATTTTTTTTATTTCTCTCTCTGTGTTCTTGCCATTCTTCAACCATTTTGCCAGCAGCCGAAGTTCATTTACTATTGAAACACTTACACCGAGAACAATAGCAGAAAAAAAATGTGCATGGTTTTTTTTTCAATTTCACTGGCGACTTTTTTCTACTTTATTGAACACTTTAATCTTCTCTCATTCTGCTTTCGAAATGTTCCGCTTCTATGATTATTATTGTTGTTAGTGCCGTTTTTGTTGACCATTTTTTGTTGGAAACAAATTTTTCGGAGAAACAAAGACAACAAAAACGGTTGGTAACCAAAAAGTTTTGAACTCTTATTTATTACTTTCGATTTTGAAATATGATTTTGAATAATAGACCAAGCAAATGCCACCGTTGGCCATTCAATCAGGTATATTAATCTTCTGCGTCAGATACAAATATCCTCTCTGATATTTGAATCAATTTTTTCAACAAAAATCAATTTCTTGACACTTTCCATTCAACTCAAGTTAAACAGAGAACGAGTATGTGCCATAAAAAGCAGTTTGTCGATAGATTTTTATCTAATTTGAAACTAGAATTGAAATATCACGCTGCTTCGTCCACTTTTGAATATTCTTCTTCTCTTAATTTTGAATCTTGGTCATCTACAAATATCAATTTAAATCATTTACGACTTGCGTCGATACCCAGGGTTTGAGGTTCAAATTTTACTTGATTTTATAGTAGTCGCTACAACGCCAAAATAAATAAATGTAAACACTTCGTTTCGTCGCATGAATAAAATTGTAAACCATTGCATAATGCAAGGGCAAATCACTCAAAAGTAATACAAAGCTGCTGAAAAAGTAATACAACGTGAAAAAGGTAATACAACTTTTTAGTGAATTGCCCCTTGGCATAATGAGTTCATCTTCGTTAAAATTTTCAACTTGAAACATGACAAAACTTGTCGATCATAAAAAAGTTCATCGACAGAGAAACACATGATTGAATATGCATTTTGTATTTCAGGAGACATCATGGTGATGGATACGATTTTGATGGGCCAGGATCGGTGCTAGCCCATGCATTTTATCCAGGAACTGGTCGAGGCGGTGATGCTCATTTCGATGAAGAGGAAAAATGGATTTTGTCTCCAAACGAGGGTGATGGTAAGATAAATTTCTGCAAATCATCAAAAAGAGGAACAACCATTGAGCGCGTTATTAATATCACACTGCAACATTTAATATATTTTTTAAAAAGACATCTAGTTGACTATATTCAACGATGCAAGTGTACTTTTTCCCTGAAAAAAAAAGAAGATTCTTTCTCCGGAAAAGAGTGTATTTTCTTCCAATATCAATAGATAGAGAGACAACATATGTCGAAATTACCGTTGCAAACCCGAAATCATATATAAAATATACAAAAAATTACAATACAAATCACTTTTGCTCAATCCAATTCCATATCCGTATTGTTCGTATAGTAAATTGTGTTTTTTCTTCTTCGGTGCACGAATACAATATCAAACCAAAGAGTTGAATCGATTGCAAATTGCATTTAGAATCTGTGGTTTCAATTCAATCTTAATTAAAATATTTATTTTTTTTTCCATTTCGTTGCCGTTATAGGTACAAATTTACTGGGTGTCGCAGTGCATGAGGTAATGCGTTGTACATGCTTTGCATACAGCTCCAAATTCAATTATCTAATTCAAATATTCTGTGTTCGTTGTATATAGTTTGGTCATTCGTTGGGTTTGGGACATTCATCGGTTGAGAGTGCGATAATGTTTCCGTGGTATCATGGTTATCAAAAGTACAAAGAATTACCGGAAGACGATCGTCTGGCGATTCAGCAAATTTATGGATCTCGTCAAAAGATTTGGGGTGATAATCCAAGGCCACGTCTTACAACCAGCGCATCAACAACGACCAGCACAACACCGCGTTCGTATTATCCCGATCGAAGTCCAACGGATCGTGATCGTGACCGACAACGGGAACGTGACGAACGTGAACGACAGGAAGCAGAAAGGGACAGAGAGAGACAGCGGTTGGAGCGTGAACGACAACGACAGGAATGGGAGCGAAAAGAATGGGAACGACGAGCGAGTGAACGTGAGCAGCGGGAAAAAGAGAGACGACGACAAAAGGAACGTGAACAAAAGGAACGGGACGAACAGGAGAAAAGACGGCAACAAAGTGCTTGGGAACGCGAAGAGCGTGAACGTCATCGATATGATGGACAAAATACACCATCAACAACCAATAAACCATGGCATCATCACAATCACCATCCGAAATACAATAAAAATGGCCAAAATCATCCGAATAAAGAAAAACCCGACACCTGCAACACCAGCTACGATGCCATCACAATAATTCGCAACGAACTCTTCATTTTCAAAGATCGCGTAAGTGTTGACATTTTCGAACAGCATTCGCTGAATGCCATTTCGAACGATAATTGCCATATTTAACGATAAAGCCCATTTTCACCGGTTGAAAATGCGGAACATTTTAAAACGATTTCATTACGCATAATCACACTCATTTATTGTTTTGCCATTTTTCTACCCCAGTATTTGTGGCGGATCGGTGACAATGGATTGCATAGCGGTTATCCGCATGAAATCAATCGTGTATGGTCGCAATTGCCAAGTAATTTCACACACATTGATGCCGTCTATGAGAATAAACACAGGAAAATTGTATTTTTCATGGGTAAGCACATTTTCCATAATTTTATACCAAAATGAAATTATCAATTGATAAAACCGGGGAGTGGTGTGAAGTGACACAAAATACAGCCAACGGTTATGTTCAAAGCGTATCACGTGCTTGATAACCAACGATGACGACGACAAAAAAAAAATCCCGTTCAACTCTCGGTATCACCTACACTTCACTATCTCCAGCCTGCAAAATTCATGAATTTTCACCATTTGATTTCACTTTTTGTGTATGTTTTCTCTCTTTCTCTTTCTCTCGTTTTCTGCTTCATTTTATTAGGAAAAATGTATTACGTTTTCAATTCAAATAAATTGGAGGATGGTTACCCTAAAGCACTAACCACTCTCGGGTTGCCAGCAACAGTGGATAAAATCGATGCCGTTCTGGTGTGGGGTCACAACAATCGAACATATTTCTATAGCGGAACCATGTATTGGAGGTAAAATGCAAACAATCTGATTGAACTGTTTCTCTCTCTCTCTCTCTCTCTCTCTCTCTCTCTCTCTCTCTCTCTCTGAGAGCGATTTTGTGGCAAAACTTATGTAACATTGTTGCGAAAACGGTATATGTGTGTATCGCATGCTGTCGCTTAGCTCTCACAATGGGGAAGCGATGCCGAGTGTGATATACACGCGTACTTTTTCGCATACAGAGCACATTTAAATGTGATAAGCCATGTGTATGCTGTCGTCGAGCATGGCACAGCAGAAAAAAAAATACATGAAAAATAAAAAATAAATCATTTCATCTGTGTTCGCAGATTCGACGAAGATATTCATCACGTGGAATTAGATTATCCACGTGATATGTCAATTTGGCGAGGTATTGGTTACCACATCGATGCAGCCTTTCAATATAAAGACGGTAAATTTGATTGAATCATATATTATTAGTTATTCATTTTGCAAATATTTCGCATATGTGTGCGTGTGGGTTTTCATTCGCCGGAGTAGACACAAATTTGATCTATCGATTCAGTCATGCGTGAATCCATCGATAAACTGGATAATTATTCACAGGAATAAAATTCATAAATTTTCTCTCGTTTTTTTCTCTCTATCTCTCTCTCTCTCTCTTCTTCATTTTGGAAAACCATTTTCATGGTTCAATAGGGAAAACGTATTTCTTTAAAGGGAAATCATTTTGGCAATTTAACGATTCAATAATGCATGTGACACGAAGTAGACCCGATTCGTCAGCGGTACGATGGATGGGATGTCCTCGAGTCACATCAACCTATTCCAATGAGGTGTACGATGATGGAGAACAACGTAAAGAGCCGCTAGTTTATTCGACAGCGACCATGAACACCGTTGCCGCAAACAACGTCTACATTCTACTCATATCAACCATTTTTGTTCTATGGCATTTTTAAGTTCTCCCAAAAGCAGATAAAAATAAAACAACTCGAAATTTGAATGAATCGCGCGATCCCGAGCGTTCAATGTGCCGCATTGTGCTTATCGAAAACAAAAAAACATAACTTAGATTTTATCAATTTCTCTCTATCTGTGTCGTATCCATTAAGCAATGTTTCTTTTAATGCAATATTCGGACTGCTTTTTTAATTAATTATTATATATATTATATTTTACGTGCAAATAGCAAGTAATTAAAGTATACCAATTTCCGTTACTTTTTTTTTCTCTTCTCTTTTTCGGTTTTTAAATTAAATTTTTTTTTAAATTAACTTGAACTGACAATCTTTTTCGATCAACCGTTTAATTTAAAAGAGACCGTTTAAAAGAATGAACGAAAAATCAAACAAAATCGAACGAAACAACCGTAATTTTCGTTAATTGTAAAATATGTTTCCTTTTTTTTGGTATTTAAAATATGTTCGCTATTAATTTTATATGTTATAAGAGTCACACATTCGGGCGATTTAAGCTCAACACGTGTTTATCGAAAGGTTCATGCTTGAATGCACAGTGTGCTTTAGATAGTCAACCATACTTATACTGGATTATTTGGAAACGAACGAACTCAACCATCTGTGCGTCTTCCACACACAAACACATTCTATCGATAGATATATATATACATGGTTCGATGATATATAGATATATGTATAACGTAATCGCAATGAAATAAGAGAGGAAAATTTCATAACTTCATAACTAGCTATAGTGAGAGAGATTTTCTTTTTTCTCTTGGTTTTTTTTTTCTTCTCCTCTTCCAATTTTGTGAACCAATCACTTGAGCAACAGCAAAAAGCAATAGCGATCTAATGAATTTTGGTCAAAGTTTTATAGTTTTCGATTTTTCTTCTTGTTTTTTTTTTTGTCACACATACATTTAGTTTTCTTCGTCTTTTCTTTCCTTGTGGAAAAACTTCGTCGCATTAAAAGTTTTTATCCAAATAATCAGAGCGTGAAATCTGTGATATAATTTTATAAAAATAAATACAAATTTCATTTGCTGAAAAATAAAAATACGTTGGTGTTTTCCTTGGCAAATAATATGGAATTGTTAAAATTATTGGAGGATGCGAGCGGAAAAGTGATTTTGCTGCGGAGAACACTTGGTTGAGTTGCAAGCGACGTCTCGTTTTTAGCGAGGAAAGAGTGGTACAATAAAAAATGTTTCCTTATCATGGTACAGACTGTAGCGTACAGACAAATGTTAGAATATACGATGGACTCCAGGCTGGAGTCTCCAGCCCAGGAGAGGGTTTTTTCCAATTTGCAAAATGGTAAGACTCTTAACGGATTTTTCTAAAATTGATCAAAGTCTCACTGAAGCAACACACACACACAAAAGACAAAACAGGTCATGAGGTACAGAGTAGTTGATGCAAGTGAATACTAGGGTTTCCAATATGATTGCAGCAAATCAACTGTGGGTATTTATTAATAATGTATTTATTTATTTACAATCTTGTTCAGCTTCGACGATAATCAAATAGGTATAATCAGTCATTCTAACGAAATTCATCGACTGATTATATTTTCTTTCAAAAACTTTCTGTTTATTCATATCCAATGATCTCTACATTTTAGTGTTGTCTCAGAAACCAAAACGAAAACGAAAATTTTCCTATGGAAAATTGTGTAATTTATACATTTTTATTTCGTTACAATTTTTTTTTCTAGATCGATAGCATTTATGTTTAATTTAATTGGTAGAAAAAGAAGAAAAAAATGTAAAATGTGTATAAATGGTTAAACAAAATCAATGAACACAATTCTTACATTGTAATTGACAGCTTGACGTAAGGAATAAAACAAACGAAACAGATAGCGGTGATGCGGTAATAATTTTCGTTTAAGATCACTTCAGTTGGATGTGGGACATTTTTTACAATTTTAAAACTAATCAATAATGATTTATTAATGATCGATTATTGATTTAAAAGAACTGATTCGCTGAGAATGAAAACAACTTATTGAATCGTTCGCAGAACAAAGTAATACAACAACAACTCCGTATGAAAAAAACGCTGTGTTTCGCTTTGTTCTGCGAACGATTCAATAAGTTGTTTTTATTCTCAGCGAATCAACTTTCGATTTTACAAACAATTGCAGAACAAAACTAAAAAACAAATACATTTTTCGATCAACGGGATCAATTTTATTCAGAGTATTTCAAATTTGAGACAATCCAAGAACAAAAATGTCTTCAAAATTTAACGCAAAAAAAATTGAGCTCAAATCATCGCTGTTTCATTTATTTCAAACTAGCGGCCTCGCCTCGCTTCGCTCGGCTTCGGCGCTAGGTCGCTTCGCGACACCCCGAAATTAACATTGTATACAATTCGTATCAAATGAAAAGATAAAAAATCTGAATAACGTCTATCTTTAATTCGAATAATTTTTTCATTTTCCAGTCACTCATCATCATCACCCACCCATTCATTTAATATTCTGATTTTTCTCTTAATAAACATATATCTATTTTATTTTTTTCACTCGAATTTAGAGCCATTTTCTGTTCCACCGCATAATTCTTTCTTGTATTGAAGAAAACAATACATTTTCTCTCAAATCAGTGTTTCAAGCTTAAACGATTCTTATCCAAGCTACTTTATATAAAGCCAATCTACGTGTGTCTTCTCCCCATTTTAAGTCTCTTTTATCCAAAACAAATTTCACACATGTATTGTTTGTCCTGACGTGAATTATGAATTTTTTCAATTTATTTATTTTTACATGAAATAAAATCTCTTCAACAATAATACGCATATATTATCTCATTGCCTTCAATCCACATTAATGTACGTTGTATCGAAAAACAATAAAAAAAAATTTTGTTCAAATTTTTTGAAAATTACATTCGAAAATCAAAACTGATATGTATTATGATAGATTCTATTTAAGCCGCGAGAATTTTAACGGCATATTCATTAACAAAACCAAGAATTAAAAAATCGTGAAAATAAAAAAAAGTAGGACAGACAGACAGACAGACAGACGGACGTTCAGTTATAATATAGATTAAAGGCCAAAATTTGTCTTGATTTCTATTTTTTTCTTCACAGTAGTCATGAATTGTTAATATAGTAAAATGTGAGACAGAAAAAAAACATCTTTTCCCAAGTTTGCTTCCAAATATGAATTCAAACTTATTTGATAAATGATGTAAAACAAATATTCGCACTGCTTTCAACGAGAAAACCGTATGAAGGATGTGAACCGGGTGCTATTGTCTTCAAATAAAATATACAAAACCAACATGGAATTTAGTTTTTTTCCCTATGATTTTTATTGCTAAAATGATGGCGTTTTTCTTTAAAAAACGTAAAATCTATTGATTTCATCGCACTGCAGTCTAATTTTACCCATCGCGTTTCAATTTATGGTCAACACCCACGAATACCTAATTCGAATTTTTTTGTATCTCCATCATTTTTTTCCGTATTCTACTTCAGATTTTGCGTACTAGCGTGATGTGTTGTTTGTGTTCTTTGATGTATTTCTCTGTGATCACCCATTTGTTACCCAAACGTTTGCATAAAATATCGGGTTCGACCGTGTTGAACATATCTTGTCGAATTTCAAATTTTTTCAGCATTTTAAATTTACCCATGGATTCGATTGCTTCATCAGTTGAAAAAGGGCAGTCTAATATATTAACTTCAACCAAGAATGGCAAAGATATCGCTAATTTAGACCAGTCCATAACAACTGAGCCTACGGCTTGTTGAAGCCATAGCTGTGTTATTGTTGGATGTTTGTCAACAAAGTCAAAAAACTGTTCAAAAGCGAATTCTCTGTCAATCTCTGCAAATTTAAAGATGAATTCTTCGAGATGATCAAATGAAAATGGTAGTAACTGTACTGACAAATCACCAAGTGACTGAACAAAAACTTCGAATGTTTTTACGCTTTTCATGCGTATGAAATTATCACTGTCGTTGATCAATGTGATGGGCATTAGGGTGATGTGAAGTTGTTCAATATTTTGCAAGCTATCAACTGCATCCCGAATTAAATTTACACTCAATTTACTGTCTTCTTTAGCAGTGAAGATGGTTAGACATTTCAACTGCGGATTCAGTTGCAACAAATCTAGCACCGTTTCACCAGGAATGTATTCCGCGTAAATCCATTCGCGGATATCCATATGTTCCAAATGCGGAATGTGTTTTGTGTTAATGTCGAAAAATGATAGATCGTCTGCCGAATGACTGTACCTTATTTTTTTAATTTTTAGGGAACAATGTGTTGATGCAACTATCAAAAATAGTGTGTGTACAATATTCGAAAGAAACATAAACAACGTTCGGGAATGGCTTGCATAAATACTTTAGCAATTCATTTCGTTTTATAAGCAATTCTTTCAAGTACTCAGCACAATAACTGTTGACGTAAGTTAACAATTTCCGATCAATTTCAGGTAGATATTCAACGTCACCTGGTAAATAGTTAAAGAATATGCAAAAAATCACACGTCCAAAACAACGTAATAACTGCAAACTAGCTTTTAAATCTGCGATCGAAATTATTTTGCCTTCAATTTTGAATATTTGATCCCGGGAAATCCTATTATAACTAAAACAATTCAATAGCACAATATATTCATCACCATACTTGCGAGCAAACACGAGTTCAGCAGCTTTATTTAGTCGTTTGTTTGTATCGGCCACATTCAATAGATCAATCAGTTCTAGATACTCGAACACAATTTCAAGGCAATCAATATTAAGACCGGTGAATTTCATCGTTTTTCTTTATTTTTCTGATGAACTGTCAATGTAAAAATAAAAATTATCGATTAATTATATACACATTGAAATTGCAAGAGATAAATTCTCGTCTTTTTCGGTATATTCTGTAAATTAGTATAGAATATTTTCAGTTTCTCTGACTTACCGTTTTATGAAACTAGAACAATTCAGTTTTCTTTATTTATTCTCATTTCTTCGTGACTCAAACCAATTGATCGAAAAATTTAACGAAAGAAGTTTACACACTACACTTAGTGGTTGTATTTGTTAGTTATGATTGAATGAATAGTATAAATTTGTAAAAAAGAGTAAAGCAATCTTCAGCAGTCAAACAGGAACTGCCTTTAAAACTAAATTGTCCTGCTGTTTATAATTCGGTTTGAGAGAAAACAAAAATGAAGAAAAAAACTCCGCACACACCACACAAACACATACACCCAGTCGACCATTCTACGGATTTGCCATATACCTTCATTTACAGGTACACGGATCATAGATGCACGACACCGTAATTAGAAACTTCAGTCGAAACTAACCTTCAACCCTTGAAAAAACCACAAAGAACATTCGTAACGGTCATTCTTAGATTCTGTCATTTTTGGTCGAATATTTTTGGGTGAAACCACTCTAACCGAGAGTTTTCAAAAATACATTCATTTCAAATGAAAAATTGAACGATAGTTATGAGGTCTAATTATAAATGAGGTCGACCAAATCGCAGTATCAAACAGCAAATTACCTGAGACGAGCAACTATGAAGGAACATTTTTCAAAATTGTCATTTGAAAAAAGACCGTGGATTGAGATTTGCTTGCTTGATTGTTTTCATGACCGTCTAGACTAAAAACCAGCAGTTCACACTGAACAGCATCATTTTCACATTTATTTAAGAAAAAATCCGAATAAAGAGGATGAGGATTAGAAAAACAATGACTAATCTCTGATTATGTTCCAAAATTTGTGGTATAATTTTCCAAAGAACCAAACAAATTCCAAAGACGATAACGGTTTTGGCTTTAAGGAGAAATTTTTTCAGTATACATTGTATGTGGTACAGGTGTAACTTAATTACCCTAACGAACAGCACGATTCCATAAAATTCATTTGATTCCCAATTTTAAAATTAAATTTTCAATGTTATAAAAGCGATTCGCAATCAATGACAGAAATTGAAGCATTCATTATTGATTTTCAAAGGAATTTTCACATATAATAAATGCATAGAGGAAAGAATTCAATGAAAGGACAAATTCCACCGCAACGTCCACGCATCACATCATATAAAAGTGTATCAGCACCAGTTTCTTTGTCTTTGTATGGCATTTTCACAAACAAGCTCCTGATCTGTTTAATTTTTAAAAATAATTACTTATATTAGAAAAAATTAACACATTTTAAAGCTAAATCATCAATTAGTACCCCAGGGGAGTAGTCTTGACGGGATATTTGCATGGAACCATCGGAACGCGCAATTTGCAGACTCATGCAATGTCGTTGGATTGACGTGAGGATCATACTTAAATATAATCATTATATTGTGGTTAGAAAAGGAATTGTGTTAAGTTTTTTTCTTCCAAAATATAGTGTACCCAATACTAGCGGCAACCATTCGTAATATGTTATATGTTGATAGCATGCAATGGTAATGCGTCGGCTCTCCTAGAATAATTTGTCGTTGTCCCAGTGTGGATTGAGCGACGCTAGGCAATTGAGGACAAAATTGTGTGGACAATAAAATAATGAATGTAAAATGCCGAGTTGCGGAGTTTGATTGAAGCGAACGTCCGCGGCACACATTTGATCACCAAATATTGGCAAGATGCCATCAGGACCTATTTCAAAGCGAGCGCTACCATTTCTCCGGAATATAAATATTTAGCGATTCGTAAGAAGTCGAGTATATTACATCCAAGTCCAAGCATGAAGTTACAAGATTTTCCTAAACAAATCAATAAATTCAACGAACATTTTAAACTAGATAAAATTGCAATTACAACAAGAAAAACAACAGTATATTTACTTGTACGTATTCGATTTTGCAATCATTTGCAAGTGTTCCCTGCATACGAACGAAACTTTGACAACGGATTTCTTTATCAGCATAAAAATCATTTTTGGGAATTTTCACTGCTATGCAGCCGGAAATGGTTTGCCATGGTGGTAAAAGCAACTATTTGATGGATCGCACCTAACGATGCCCTCACTGGCGTTTCCTGCAAATTATAATTATTATTAATTATCAAATGATGTAATAATATTAATTTGATTGTTTTTTGTATGTTAAATTACCCAGCCTGAGTCACGGAAAGAATCTTTAAAAAACTCCAAACGCACCTCTCTCGTATAAAATCGCATTATATTTTTCTTTGAATTTATCGACCGTTATAGGTAAGTATCAGATAACAGTATTTTTTTTTTAAAGTTCACCATCAGTTGTGATAAATTCGCTAAGTGGTGAGTTTATTAATTGTCATACATAATTTTCTTAGTTTCGTTGTTCGAAATAACCAAGGTATGCAATGTTTGATAAATAACTATCAAACGACAGGTAAATATCAAGGTTGGCTCAATATGCTGAACAAACACTTTTTATTTCATTTCAACATTGTCATTGGACTTCAATTTCATTCGTATTGAATAACCCCGAACGATGAACAACGGCAAAAAGAATCCAAGCCCAGGCTCTAGCGGAATCTCGAGCACAAATAAAAAAGGAAGACTGAGACATAGAAAACGCGAAGGCATGGTCTACCGTCAAATGTAAAGTCGATTGTGCGCACTCTAAAGACAAAAGGGATGAAGAATTCAAAAAATATCTTAACGAAAGAGATGAAGCTAAAAAAAGTAAATATTTCATAAATTCATTTTACAACAAATCAGAAAACCGTTTTTCTAATTCAATTCGATATTTTTTTTAATGCAGAAATAATAATGCAGAACAACAAAGTCAACCTGAAGTGAAGTTTTAGAATAGACAACTTCCAGTAAAAATGACAACTTTCAGAAATATTCTTGGGAAAAAAGCAGAGTAAAAGAATAAAAGTGTTGTGTTTTTATTGAATCGCGCTATATGCACGCGAAAGTGCAAATGCAGCATTATATGATATTTTTGGAACACAGTATATATTACAGCGTTAATGCAAATTTTTTAGCAATCACATTTTTAGCAATTGCACAAACGAGTTGAAACGATAAAGTTTTTTATAAAAACTGTAAGTGATCGCCAAATGGAAGTTTATTTTGTGGATAATTTGTGTTTTTATTTCATGATTTTCGAACAATTTTGCAATAATTTCCATTGTTAGTCTTATTTACTTAAATAAATTCTAAATTCACTACAAACTAAGACATGCACATAGTCTTCAATCGGATCGAAACGGTTTTGGGTTTGAATGGCAAATAAAAATGGTTAAGAGAAATGAATATTTAATGGAATAGAACCGACATGACATAATAAAAATAAATGAATATATCTCTCCCTGGATAGGTGGATAAGAAAGACCTATTAATATTTCGGCAATAGTGAATAGCGAGGTGGTGAATTCCAAACGGCGCTTGAATTTCGGCGCAAGTATTTTTCGTCGATACTCGGGAAAATCTCACGTAAATCGACTTCATGCGGTGCTACCGAAAAGAATTTGTCCGTAATTTTGGTGCTAACACGCGCTTGGGCCATAACAAACGCATAACGATTATGTGATGTACTCCACGATGGTGGTGTCGGTCGTTTGCTTGACGTTTTCCCTTCGTCATCCGTTGAATCACCACTATCCAGCATATCAAAATTGTATGCATTCTTCTTGCGCTGTTCTTCCGCTTTCATTTTATTCAGTTTGAGCTGCTCTTGCATTGCCTTCTTCTCGGCCAACACCCGTAGATAATGCTCTTGCTCTTTACGATCAGCCGCTGCTTTCTTTGCTAACTGCGCCTCTCTGTAATTCAACGAACGAACGGAGTTTATTATTTTCGTGAACATTCTGGAATTGAGCAGGAAAAAACGCGGGAATGTCTTGAACGAAAATTTGATTATGCACTTACTTTCGCTTTTGTTCACGTTCAGCTTCTTTACGTTTTTGCTCCTGCAATCTTAGCAATTCTTCCTGTTGCTTTTGCTTCTCCTTTTCTCGCGCCCGTTGCTCTTTTTCCTGTGGAATGAAAGAAAAAATTGTCAAATGATGAGAAAAATGTAAGCTGATGTCACTTTGATGGCAAAGTTTGAAAATCCAAAATTATTCATTTACTTGTAGTAGTTTGCGTTGTTTTTCAGCCTTCTCCCGGTCTTGCGCTTCGCGTAATTGCTGCGCTTTTCGCAATTTATCATCTTGTTTCTTCTTCTTTTCGTCCGCTACCGCCTGGTGTGAAAATTACACAACAGTATTGAATTTCATTCAACTATTTCGACCCATTCCCAACAATACCCATCAAACTAATTGCAAAGGATTTGTTTACCTGCGCCTTTTTACGAATTTCCTCAACACTTTGCGATTTGGTGAGTACTGGCTTCGGTATCGATTGAGCATAACGTGTGGCCGAATTGGTGCGAGTATGTGCTGAGCCATAAGTTAATTTGGATTTCTGAAATGATACGTAGAAATTACGAAATATCCTCCAAATTGTTACAACATTTGATTGAAATCATACTTCGCTTTCAACTCGTGCTGCTCTGGTGCGTGTCTCCTTCTGTGGAGTTTGCAATTTTTCAAATGCTTCAACCCGTTGTTTGATGTTTGGTTTCGATGTGCATGGACTGAAATAATGAAGAGATTTTGTTATTAACAACGAATAGAAGCGGCTCTATGAAGCGATACGATTGTAAAATGCCTTAAAATTCACATGAAAATTTAGACAATTCCACTTACTTGAACAATTCCTTTGGATTCTTCTTTGTTTTCAGCCCATTGTATTTTCGAGTGCCAGTATCCGAATCGGAGTCATCTTCAGTCATAATACTGCTAGCCGACACTTTTGAACCTGCTGCACCTTTTGTACCACCAACAACAACGGTTTGATCATTTATTGCGCGATTCGCAGTGGCCTTTGCCGTTTGTTCAACATTGAACGTTGCATTTGGACCATCGATACCATCACCACCTTTCGGTATTATGTATGTTCCCCTTGGTGAAAGTTGCTCTTTTTCCGTTTCGTCCACCGTTGTCACAAATGTTGCATCACATTGTGGCTTCTGCATGGCGAAAATGAATATATACATATTTTTAGATACTAAACGACTCAGTCTTAAGTCGGATTTTATGCTTACATTTGCCGTATTGACTAACGGCTGTGACATTGCATCTTCGTATAACGATTCACCGCTTGTGTTGAGAGGACGATTGGTTTTCGATTTTTCCGATGCACTTCGACTGGACCGAACGGTTTTTTCCTCAACGGCCGTGTTGCTACTTGCTTCACTGTCTGCATTATTTGTACTAGACACACCTTCATCTTCACTCTCCGAAACTGGCTCCTGTTTGATCTGTAAAAGAGAAAAAAGTAAGAGGGTGAAGGTTTAAGATGCAATTGGTATTTCTTTCAATCGTGCGCCAAAACAACTAAGAACATTATTTTCTTAGAATGAAGGAAAAAAATGGAGTAAAAAATCAATTTCATGAATTTTCCAAGCAAAAGGTGGGTCAAATAAAAAAAAAAATACCTTGCGTTTTGGCTGTTTGGACCGTGTTGATCGAATCTTTTTCTCGACTGGTGCTTTCTTTTCTTTTACCGGCTTGATCGGTGGAACGAATGCTGGTGGTGGCATTTTGCTACCATCATTACCCGTTTCTTCATCCGACAATTCAATCGTTGGATTCGTTTCCATTGGAACAATTTCCAACGAATCATTTGAGTCATCATTCGATGGTTTCTTGCTACCATCTATTTCTGTTGAGCGGGTGGTTGTTTTATTGGCTGTTGGTTTCGTTGCAATTGGTTCATCAATCTTTTCCTTCTTAATACGAACCGGTCGCTCGGGTTCATTTTCCTTGTCTTCGCTCGCTTTTGGCTTGTCCGGCCGTCCATCGGTTGATGTTCGTTCCGTTTTCACATTCACAACTGTCAATGTGCCATCTCGACGCATTTTTGAATTCAACGGCGGCTCTTTCTGAAATTTTCAAACCATTTCTCTATGTTTATTTGGAATATTTTGATGCTTTTGTTGCGATTCGATTTCGAATTGTAATCAAAAATTGGCTAAAATCTTAGTAAACTGATCGAAAACTTCGAAAAAAGTCTCAAACGGTTTTTCAATACATACATAGCACGTTGGTTTAGCTCGACCGGTGCGAGTTGGCCGCAATAGAGCCGGCTCATCATCAGCTGATTGATGATCATTCAATACAGTCACTCTGGTTACCGTATTCGTACTCCGCGACGAATTTGTCGATGAAATACTGTCATCTGGGGATCAAATAATCAAAATTAGCACCACAACCCGATTCATTGAATGATATTCAAGCGATTGCTTCGTTGTTTTATCAATTGAAACCTTATCAAAACTTATCAACGGCGAAAGTGTTCATTTTGAAATGGGCACCACCGTGCATTTGCCTTGGCTCACCATAATTATCAGCTTTTTCCGTTCGGCCTTTGGCTTTCTTCTTGCTCGGCTTCACTGGAGTACTTTTTGTTTGAACATATTTTTGTATAACTTCATCGAATCCTTTCTTGAAACCCTGCAATATGATTGAAATGCGTTAATTTTCCCATATTTCCATTCCGATCGTATCATTTTTCTATTTTACATTAATTAACATTCAAGAAAATCAGTTGAAGTTTCAATTTTCAAATCACAACTGTCTTTTTTATCCATTTAATAATCTCATGTCAACAGACACACTCATATCAAATCGAAACTATGTGAACTGTCAAAACCTGTGCTGACGCAAACCAAGAAATTTTATTCTTTCATGATTTAGTTTTTGCAATTCCATTCACAAAATTCACACAAAAAGAATACAATAATTTAATTACCGAAATTAATTCATCAGCTTCTCGTTCGGATTGATTGAGTTCACGTAAAATCGCATGGATATCTTTCGAAAATGACTCCATTATATCAGTTCTGTCCAAATATATCTAAGATTTTCGTCTATCTTTTTTGTTTTGATCGATCAATTCATAGAATTTACTATTTGTTTGCAATTTAAAAACTATTTTCATCAATCTACACAAAAAAAACAGTTAACAATTCACATTAAACGAATATAAAAAAAACGACTCAAGTCAATGACGAACAATTTTCACAGCTGAACAATAGTGCTTGTTTTGTGACCAGTGCAAAACTAACATAAGCCTCCGTCGAAATTTAAAATTTAAACGGACTCGCGTGAAGTTGGCTCCTCCATTGGCGCTCATCGCAATGACAGTTGTAGATGATGTTCGTTAAAAACTTCGTCAATTCGGCTGATTCGTTGTTCTATTGGATGAAATCAAATTTTTGAATGGAATTTTTTTCAAAATGAAATGTACAAAAGATGATATTAAAATAGGTAATTCTTCATTCTAAGCACGTTTTCATTCCAACTCTATCCATCAACTCTCCACTTCTGAACTATTCACCAAATATGGTAATGCATATTACATATGTGTAAATAGCGTCGGTAATACAGGTTATTTTTTTCAAATCGAAAGAAAGTTGGGTCAAATGTATTTGTGCATGAAATGGATTGTACTCACTTGTACTGAATCCGAATTCTTTGAATTCTGATGAAATTTTATCTAAATAAATCCGAATTCCAGAAATTTATACACAATTCAAGAAATGAATAATTGATGGGGATAAAAACCACAGAAAAATGCTTGAAATTGATCAATTTAAATGAAAATTTACATAGAAATCCTGAAATTCAGCTGAAAATAAATGCAAACATGTATATCTTTATTCCTCATAGTTTATTCGCTTGAAATTTGAGTTTATATAAATTTATAAATTCCTTATCATAATATTTGTTGCATTGCTCGTTTTCTTCTTATGTTTTCTGTTTTCGTTTCTTTTTTAACTCTTTGGTGAAATTTCCCTTGCACAATATTCGGTATATGTTCTGCTCCGACAAATATAATCAACAATGATTTGGAGTGCGATTGCATTAAGTTCTACCCGGAAAGAAAACGACTTTTGGCTATTTGTTTTCCCTCAAAAGAGACATATTGTTAGTTTGAAATTGGAAATATTTGGTTTTTGTTCATAGAAATGGATGACATTTTGATTTCTCTTAGTTCGTGAACCTTAATAGAGTGTGTATATCGAGTGCGCATTCAAAAATCAGTGTAAAATACATTTGTATTCTCAGAAGACATTCGGCAAAAAAGGGTAGGCAAATAAGAGGCATTCACAAAAAATGTTATAAGTTTGAAAATGAAAAAATATCGTAATGCAAAAAATTGAATAAAAAATTACTTAAATGCAGAGAATCACTTACCATTGAACGGAAAACAAATGGCAAACACAGAAAAGAGAAGTATGCAACGTGCGGGCGGGCAGTGTGCCTTCAATGCTAACAACAAAATGAACAGAGAAGCAACGAAAACAGCGAAAAGCAAATGCAGAACCCAAAAAAAGCACGAGTTGTTTAGCGACAAAATGCAAACGTTGTGATTTTGTCCATATTTTCATTATTTTTTTTTTTATCAAATATTCATTGTATTTGTTCTTTATGTATATTTCAGATAAATTTAAGTATTTTTTATTTAAACAATGTTTGGTAGCATATAATTTAAAGTTGTTGCTTTTTTTTTTTCTTTCTTGTAGTTGTGTGTTTAATTTTTGTGTTTCTGAAATCTATTTCATTTAATAGCAATTAATATCTAGACTCTTTTTTTTCACGTTCCATTCATTCCGAGTAATCGCATATATCACTCGAGCTATCATTTATTTTAATTTGATTTTTCTTGTTCATAATGTGTGTGTGTGTCTGTGTGTGTTTGTGGTTTTTTAATTCGATTTGCGTCATTTCGTTTTTTTCTTCATATTTTCAATAAATATAATACATTTAAGCAACTATCAACAGCTTTAATATATGAAAAAAAAGGAAATATATTTCCTCATTGACCCCATTCTCACTCGCACCGGTATCATTTAGTAATGTTTTTTTTATTCTTTTCTACGCATTTTTCTTTGATCTTCGGCTATTTTAAGTGGTACGTTAAATTTGTTTCGTTCGAAATGCTACTGTATAAAGTATGAATGACGATTGGTACAGGTAGAACCGGAAAAAATCGTCCCTCGTTTTTAGCGCTACACGAATTGTAGGGCTATTATTTTTCATTGGAATTGGAAAATGTTCGGGTTTTTTTTCTTTTCAAAACACATATTGATACGGACAAATCTGACCGTATTCATAACGTTCGTCTGCATAGTAAAAGTAAGTCAATAGGTTTTACAGACGAGCGCGAGATAGAGAAAAAAAAATGCGATCATATTAGTATTCAATAGATTTTTGTTTCTTTTTCTTTCTTTATTACATCATAATAAATAATTGGTGTGCCATTTCGGCTGCGAGATGGCTGCATCGAATCGTATGATATTTTCTGCTTTTATATTTTATTTTAGCATCTTTTTTTTTCTCGTTAGTTTAAATGTCTGTAATTTTTGTTTGTTTGTTCAAATGCTTTAAAAAAACGAATGCCGTTTTCAATAAATTTACATCTATAATCATTTTCATTTTAAAAAACGTCTAGAATTTGTTTGTTGTTGTTATTTGGAAATTTGATCGCAATTTGCGAGTGATTTTCTTTCTTCTTTTTGTTATTTAATAATTACATTTGTTTTATAAGTAAATAAGTCTTTAATTTGATGCACAATATCCATATTAATTTTTATATATTCTTCGTTTTTGTCACAACAGAAGACAAATTATTCTATTCGTAATTCGATTCACTGTTTTTTTGTTTTCTCTTTCGATTCGGTGTTTTATTTTCACTGAATATTTTACTTCGAAAATTTTTTTAATTTAAAATTCACTTTGCAAAGTGTGATTATTTTCTCTTGTTTTGCCGACAAATATGTTTACGACAACCAATAATAAAAAATAAGAAAACGTATGAACCGTTTCAACCAATTTGTGCCACATTCGGAATCGGATGCTTTTCTCGACAAAAATGCAATCAATATATCATAAAAGTTTCGTATAAAAAATGTATACACCAAAACAAAAATAAACCACTTTTTGTTTTTGTCATCAAGAGATTTATATAAATCGGAAGGTGTGTGTGCGTAGAAGGGGAATTTAATACCCTAAGTATATAAAGGGGAAATGTGTGCCGAAGTGCAATGTTAAGTATAAAAAAAAAACAAACACAGAAAGAAAGAAAATCAAGAATTATCATACAGTTGCTATGAGATTTAACATTTTACCATCGAAATCAAATACGTGTACATTGGATTCGGGGGACAATTGATTACTTAAACTACTTAGTGAAAATCAGTTCGTCCATTATCTACTCATTTCTTGTTTAGCAATATCGATTTGGGCTAGCGGCTAGTGTTCAAAAATTTCATAGATATTTTTTTTAATGATAGAAACGAAATTTTTTGATACTCGAACAAAAAAAGAGTTGAAATTAGTTCGGAAAAAACAATCGAACAAAGATTCTACAAAATTTTGTAATTCCCTCATAATTGGAGACAAAAAAAGACGAAAAAATTCAAACGACAAAACTCTCATTTTTTTTAACCCATTAACGCTCAACGTCCTATTTTTAGATTTTAAATTTCTGACTTTTCGAGGTTTTACCACTAAATTTTTCTTACATGTGGCATATGTAGGTAAAATGGATAATGTTGTGGCTTTCCAAAAATACCTATACTTTCCTATAAATCACTCCAGGGCTCAATTTAGCCTTGGACTGAAGTTGAGGAAAGAAAAATTCGATTTTTTTTTGTCTGGGCGTTAATGGGTTAAAGTGAGACATCAAATCAAAGTCTTTGGCTCAAGGAAAATGTAAATTAGAAGAAATTTGAAAGTTGAACAGAAAGAAAGTTTAGTACAAAACATTGTAACGTGCTACGGTGAAGAAAAGAAGAAAACAAATGTCCATGCATGGAAATCAGGCGGAAGGACATGAACAAAATGGGAAAACGTCTAAAGTCGAAGAACATGTGTAAATGTAACGACAACTAGTACCAATTTAGTAAATGGTTGCTTACGATTCGTATTCGTGTTTGTGAAAATGTATGTTAAACTACGGTTGGTATAAATACGGTATTTCGATTGTGTGTGTGTGTTTCTGTTGTTATGAATAGGTTTACATTTAGTTTTAACATATATGTCAAAGGAAGTTGTCTATTTGTCGCACACTGTCCAGATCTCAACCAGTTGAAACACCATCTTCGGTCGATTGAACCAATTTTCTTTTTCATTGTAGGTCGATACTCCCATTTGAACTGTTGAGCACTACATGAAGTGTAGAACTCTAGTTTTTTTTTTCTTCATCCAAATGTGTCTAAGGGTGCCGTCACTCTTGAAAATCTGGTTTTGGAAACGGCACATTTCAATGAAATGGTTGATGATTTCATTGATTGTGCACATCATTAATGAACACTAACAATTGTTAGTGGGTTATTTCATCGGATTCGAAAAAAAAAATTCACAAAAAAATTTGGAAAAAATAATTCACGATGTCACTTGAGATGACTCAAATAATAAAATCTGGTATAAATCAACCAACCAAAATCTCTGATGAATCTGGTTGAGCATTCGAGTTGTGCACAATTAGGCTGCACCCTAATGCGTCAATACGGTAGCATTGTTATTGCAGCTGATAATTGTTTCATACGTTGAAATTTTTTTTTCATTCTTTCTTTCGTTTTATTCTGTGTGTTTTGTATATAAAATGCACATTTATTCTGTTGTTGTTATTTTATACAATATGTCGACTTAAATATCATCCGTTTACATAGTTTTTTTTTATTATCATACAATTATAGGAAGTACAATATCCATCAAGGAATATTTTTGTGTGTGTCTGTGTTTTTTTTCTCATATAAATCTAAAAATACGAAATCACTCTCTCCAGCGCATTGTTTCGAGTGTGTATCGTTTACTAATAAATTATGTATAAAAAAAAGAAATCTGGGGTCTGTTTATTTGTTATCTTTTCATCATTTCGATTCAATTTAGATAGATTTAAGCTTCTTTATAGCTTTTATGTCGTTTTTTTGGAAATATGAGTAAATTTCATCTAGAGATTTGTGGCGTAGCCATGAATGGACAGACATGAATATCTGAATGTGTGACAATTATAATTAAAAAACAAAATAAAAAAAGGAAAAAATGAGAAGTTTATCGAATAGATCCATTGTCTTATATTTTTTTTCATCAAGCAATACAACAACAATACTGTGTGTTGAATATAGAGAATAGTTGCAATGTCAAACATGTACGATTGACATATCGATTAGAGAGATATATAGAGATAAATTAAAACCGAAAATAAAATGAGAAGAACGTCACATATCTGAGATAGAACGAGAGCGGGAGATTCAAATACAACACACACACGACAAAATGTACGAATGAGATTTTCATAGTGGTAACGCATACACCATACAAAATTTTCCTCTAAATTCTATGGTGAAAATCCATTCCATTCGGATCAAGCAATGTTGTGGTTGTTGTTATTCGTCGTCCCGATTTTGTTCGTTTGTTTATTTCTTTTTTTTCAAAGCGCGAAAATCGTAATTTCTGAAACACTTTGAATATTATCCGGTTCATATCCGATAAATTATGTCTCTGTGTTATTCGGCTGCTGTGGAATGTTCCAGCCGAGAGATATTCGTCATCGATTAACACGATGCTTTTGTTTTCTTTAACTATAAATTGTATAAAATGTAATTACTAACACGTTGTTTAGGACCCAATTCTTTCTTCTCCTTCTTCTTCTTCTTCTTCTTTTTTTCTTCAATTTTGGTGTGATTCAACATTTTCTTGTCAATTTTATTTTGTTCACGGTCGTTAAGTGTATATATAGTCTAGTCGTTTATGTATTTTCTAAAATCTCGGGTCGCATAGTACATGTATATATATATATAATATAATTTGTTAGGTCTTTTTATTCCTTGGTGTATCAAGAGGAGATTTGATCGTATGTTTGTTAATAAATTTATTCGGTTTGCATTCAATTGTTGGGCTTTTGAAACTCGTTCAGTTGCTTGTGTTCGGAATCGACAAATATTTTTGTTTTTTTTTTCATTCTTGTTGTGTAAAAAAAAATGCGACGCGTTTATATAAAATGTGTGTTTGTATGTGACTGCATCTAAATTAATATAGAAAAAATTGGTACTGTAAATTGTGGCTGGTTTCTTTTGATTTTTGTGTTGTTTGCGTACGTGTGTATGAGTTGTCTTTTTTTTGGTTTTCTTGTTAAATATAGAAGATGTGCGTGTGCGCGTGTATGGAGGAAATACTGGAACCAGTATTGAACAGCAGGTACGATTGGAATGCTCACTTTACACATTCACTGTTGGACGTGCTCAGTTCCGATTTTTCAAAATAGAAGTCAGTGCATAAGTTTTTTTTTTTCGTTTTCGGTTTTTGTTCAGTTTTGCAATGAAGAATGACGAGAAAAAAAACATGCTTTTTGCTAATATATCTTGAAACATTTCTTTTTATCATTTCTTCACCTACTCCTGCTTATATCTCGTAATAAAAACAATTTTCTTTGTCGATAACGTTTTTTGTCCAAATTTGTTCTTTGTTTGTTTACTTAAAAAAAACAATCAAATGCGTTCTGTTCTTTTTTGCATACACTTCATACGCATATACAGAGAATGTGAAATATTTATGAAATCTAATGAACTCGATCGAGCAACAATTTTTTCTCCTTTCTTTAGAATGCTTTCACTGCGTTTTGTGTATGTGTGTATGTGTGTGTGTGTGTGTATTTGTGTTTGTTCTTTTTTGTCATTTAAATACCGGAATACTTATTTTAAGTAGATGTAGACAGATGTAATACAATTTTCGCTTGTTATTGAACGGATTCGGGCTTCCTTTTCGATTTTGGTTGTTCATTTCATCGCTGCGGAGAAATGGTGTGTCTGGCTTATCACTCGACCCTCATCCTTACCTTCGATTAAACTCCGCTTTGATAACTGTGGAAAATGAGTTGGAAATGAGCAATTTTTTTTTTGGATTTTTCTTTTTCATTTTACACACAAAGAATTCATTTCATTTTAGGATCTAAAGATTCGGTTGAAAATGACAGACAAATTTTGATTTATGACCAAAAATCTAAACACTTTCAAACAAATTGTAGAATTGTATCTCGAAAAAAAAAGAATTGATTGTTTCTAAAAAAGAGAGTGTATTCAATTGAGACTTGAGCATACCGTCTATGATCTCTTTTGTTGCTTTGTTGAGTTCAATCCGCATTTCCCGTAGAATGTCGGCTTTGAGTGCTTCGAGTTCGTGTGAATTAGCAATGGATAGACCGTCACCATTGACTTGCTTCAGAATTGTCTCCTCGCTGGCACTGCCGAATCGTTTTCTCGATGGTCGTGGCGATTCGGAACCATTGTTTGTAGTACCGTTGTTTGTTGTGCTCGACTGTGCACCCGAACTGTTACCGCTCAATTTGTGCGGCAATGTGTTGGACTTTTCCCATGGACGAGATTGATCATTATTTGTATCCGCCTACGCATCGAAATGGATGTTTTTATTCGTTTGAATTACAATATATATCAATAGAAAGAGATTCTCGCAGTACTTACATCTGGTTTCTTCTCAGCTTGAGCTCGTCGTCTGGCCAATGTCTTTGCCATTTCATCCATCATCGATGCCATGCCAGTTGATGCTCGACCTATTCAAAAGATATTTATATTAATTTTCATTCCATTCATCATTTTTATTGCTATTCTTCACTTTTACTTTTTTCATCTGTCTGGACTTTCGTTTTATTTTCATTCATATTTATCGGATGGACTATCGGTTTTTTTTTACTAAGAACACACAAACACTTTGAACGTAAGAATGATTTGCCGCTCAAGAAAAAACGGAAATCGTAAAATCCACAAATGTTTCAGTTTCCAATTTACAATTTTCTTTGAAAAATCACTTTCCGAAAGAAAAAAAATCGAAAAAAACGGTAGCCTACTTTGTCTCCCTCTCAAAAAAAAATCGGAAACCAAATTTTCGCTAAGCCAATTTCATAGTTTGGCAACTTTTGGTGGTAATTGCATAAGGAATTAATAAATCAACAAGAAAAAATTGATTGCTTATTCATCGATGTAATGCGATGCGTAATTAACTTACCCGTGCTATAATTGCTTCCACCGCTAGATGTGCTGCTTCCGCTATTTTCGGCTGGTGGTTGTGCTGCATTCGATTTGGCATTTCGTTTGAGTTTGGCCTGTTGCAATTGTGCGGCCAATGAGCTCATGTCCATTGCGCCGCCGCCTTGATTCAAACCACCCATGGGCGGCGGCGGCGGTGGTGGCGGTGCTGAACCTGTACTCAATGCTGGACCAGCCGATGGCGGTGGTACTGGCGGCTGTGGCACTGATCCATTTGCAAAACATGCTGTAAAGGAAAGAAAAAACACACACATTTCCCAATTATAGTTTGAATTAAGCATAAAGGTTGTATGTACAACAACCGTAATACAGTGCAAATGGCAAGTGAAGCAAAGAGGAAGCAAAAGAAATTGCAAAAAAACCATTTCAGAATGGAGGAAAATCAAAGAAAAAATTATTCGGTGCACGCTTATGAAGAAAATGTTTCACAACAATTCAATCAACTTTTTTTGGTACGAAGAAATAATTGAAAACGTTCACAAGCATCGAGATATTCACCACTGATAACCATCTTCACGCGGTTTTCTCTAAATAGTTTAAATGTCAAAATAACAAACGCATATTTTAACAGCAGCACCATTGTCCAGTGACAATTGCGGTGCACAACGATTGATTTATAGCTGGCATTGACACAGTTTCAAGGTGCAACATAAAGAGGAAGAGAAATTATTCACGGAAACGGCGAAAATAACAAGTAAACAGATTTTTTTTAACAACAGCATCATAAAAAACATGTAAGTGTGTTGCAATTGCTGGTAATCATAATGATGACTCATAGCCTAAAACTCAAACAAATCACAAATTAGCTCCAATGTCACAATGAAATGCAGGAGATGAACAGTTTTTGCGAAATTAGTTCAAAACAATTGTTTACAAATAATTTGCTTATTTTTTTTTCAGGGATTGGTCACCAGAAGCCGTTCGTATGTTCGTTGACCAGATCTTGGGACTTTATGACGATGAAAAGGCCGGGCAAAATTTGATTATTCTGCTCGATAAATTTCAAGCAAAAAACAATGAATTGCTCAGAGCAATTCCGAATTTTGAAATTGCATATACGATTAGGTAATTCGAAATAACTGATTTTCTACTTATTTCATGTGGATCATGAAGCAAGCCTCAACATATGTTATTACTTTCTTCTCACACAATTCTAGCGAGGTCCAATCCAAAGCCGAACAACTGTTGAATATTGAGGCGGAATTGCGGTTGATGTTAGAAGAAATGGCTGAATCGCAAGAAACCGTAGTCGCAACTTAAATAACGAACTTACCGGCGTTGAACGGTGGTGGTGGTGGTGCCGGGGCCACTGGTGGAGCGGTTTGGGATTGGCCATATTGCGATGTAGCCGGATTTCCATTACCATATCCGTTATTAATAGTACCATTACTTGAATTGCCATTTGTTTGGCCATAAATATCTGAATAAAGAGAAATTTTATTATAAAATCAATTCAATTCTGGCTCACTTGAATATTATTTCAATCGTTTTGTACCTTGTTCGGGTGCATGATTATTGACAGCTTGATATCCGCCCATCATCATGCCACCAGGTTGGTTTGCCACATTGGATGACACATAAATTGGGCCGTTTTGATTTGGAATTGGTGCGCTATTCAATTGTTGTTGGTTTAAGCTTTGATTTGAGCTTGACGACACATAAATCGGTTGGTTGTATTGTGCCATATTCTGTTCAAAAATGGAAATGGAAATGGATGATGTTATAAATGAAATAGAACTCGATGAGAGATAAGAATTGCATTTAGCGTTTAAATAGTTTTGTTGCTACTGATTGACATTGGCAGGAATCTACGTTTCCACTCTTTGTGAATGAGCTCTCTCGAAATAGCACTGTTCTACTACTGTGATTGTTTCAGAGTAAAAGCAACATTTTGACTACAAAATATGAGAAGACGGGACATGTTGATCCCTGTTGGCTGGTTACAACAATAGGCTTACTTGATTTGATCCATAGGATGCTTGGGATAGTTGAGTTGAGTAAATTGTGGCCGATTGCTGTTGTGGAGGTGCTTGTGGTGGCTGCGGTTGTGGCTGATGGTATTGTGCTTGATTTGGAGGCATTCCACATGGACCGAATCCTTGAGGAGGCGCACTGTTTGTCAAATTAAAAAGAAGAGATTTAAATTTGAAAAAAAAAGATGTCGAAAAAATATAGTTTTCAAAATTTGAAGAAAGAAATTCCATTTAAAAATTGTCAAAAACGACATTTCCAAAGCAATGACACACCTTTTACATATTCTTTAGAAGAAAAAAAAATTACAAGAAAATTATCAGCAAATAAATAAAATTTGTCACCAAATCTATTTAAATGTATTTGTATCAAACAAACAATTGGAAAAAAAACCCATTGAATCAGCTGTCGAAAGAAAGAAAAAAAAATCCAAGCTGTGAAACTTGCCTGCTTGTGCGATGATGACCTTGTGCATTTGGTGGACTTTGTGGGATATTCTGACTATTTGGTGGTTGCTGTGAAATTGGTGTGTGAACCGTTCCCGGTGTGCTAATTTGTTGGATCATTGCTGCATCTTCTCGGGTCATCGTTCGATAGCCCATATCCTCATCATAGCCAATGTTACCATTTTGTGGTGGCGGCACATTCGGTTGTATCACTCGGCCGCTTAGAACCTAAACCAGAAAAATGCATGTTATGAATATTTCAAAATCTACGCGACAAACTTGATGGTAAATGCTTAGAATGTCCATTTCAAAGCGATATCGCTCCGAATTCAATCGGACAAATTCGGATTTAAAAGCCACGACCAAAAACAGTATACAAACCTCAAGTGCATGTAACATAGCACGGGCAAATGCCTCAGCATCTTGTTGGCTGGAAAAGTTCAAGCCATAGACGAATTTCGAGTCACGCCATTGATGAAATGTTGGTGTGGCTTGATTATATTTCAATCCCTTCAGAATGGAACAATTTATCACAACCTCATGATCTTGGAGTTTACGGCCTACAACGCGAAACGTGTTATTCTGTTGATGATGATAAATGTGCACTTTGCTGAGGCCAGATGATGTGCCCGATGGAATCCACTTCTTCTGATTATCATCGTATACCATGACAGAGGCACGAGCCCCAATTATACTTTGTTCACTGTAAACGAAGAGAAGAAAAAGCGATGAAGAAAATTGTGAGTTATGAAAAATGCGTAAATGAGGGAAAAAATTATGAGTAAATGAATTTATTTCTTCTTCTCTTGTTATCAAAACACCAATACACCAAAAAAAATGCTCTCTTTCGTTCTTGCTCACTCGCTGTGAGTAAATGTGGCTGTGACGCGGTGGGCGCACTCGCATGAAACAATAGAATGGAACGCAGATTTTTTTTTTAAATAAAACAAATACCAGTCCCAATACTGTTGCCAACATTGTTCGCTTGAATCATTGGACGTAACACTTTTTTGACTGCTTCGACGTGAATTGTCCATCGTGAATGAATTGCACGATGCACGATGGATATCATTCAGTGAGTGGGTTTGGAAGTGCGTCTGATCGAAATCCGATATTGAATGGTAAATATGTTCGTCGTTATCGTTATTTCCATTTTCGCCGTCAACCGTGAACGATCTAAACATACGGACTCTTCTCATTATAATTTCAATTTGTTTGTTTCTTATTTTCCCGTCTTTTAATTCGTTTCACTATTCAAACCAAACACAAAACTTTTTTTTTCACGTCGTTGTCTTGTTGCTGTTCTGTTTCTTTCCCGAAATTGATTGCTACGATATAGAAAAAAACACTTTTGTCACAAACGAATCACACAGTGATCTGCTTTGAATGCAGATTTGTCACTGCAGCAACCACACTTATGATCATCTGATTCGTTTGCTCACTGATTGAGTTATTTTGTCCAAATAAAAATAAATGGACCAAACGAAGCAACGGGACGGGAGAAACAAAACGAAGAGAAAAAAGTGAACTGAAACAAGAGCGAACAAAAAAAAAACGGCAATCACACACAATTGTGTTGTGGAAGAGGAAGAGTGCTGCAATGGCTAAGATAACAAGAATGAAATGAGAGGGAGTTTTTTTTGCCTCCATGTATGTGACATACATGATATTACACACTCAGTAATAAGCATAAATTCAATTTAAATTGGTAAACAACGTTTAGACAGACAGACAGAGAGAGAGAGAGAGAGAGAGAGAGAGAGAGAGAGAGAGAAGGAGTAGAAAAAATGACGACGACGGCGTAGTATTGTTGTGTCGTAGTTGTGTTCTTGACTCGTATACACTGCGATTTTGATACACTTAATGTGTACGCACATCGAATGGAATGCAAAACAAGCAGCAATAAGATAAATCAAATTATAACAAAAAGATTAGAGTCGTTGTTATTCGTTTTTTTTCGCTCTCTGTATCTGCCGCTCTCTCTCGATCACTCGCCGTTGTCATTGGCGATGTTGAATATAGTGACGAGAGATCAGTTGTACGGGTGGTTGTCGGTTGTAATAATCTCTATGGATGATATTGAATTAAGTGAACGAAGAAGCATGGTGTGAGCGCCCATTTGGCAGAGATGTTTTACGGTTTGAAAACATCACATTCCACTAGGCTGCGTGATGCGCTGTTGTCGTCGTCGTCGATGTTTTTTTTTATTACTGCTATGTGTGGTTTATTGTTATTTTTTCTTCTTAGCACCAAACAAATGTGCCATATTATATCCTATATTTTCATCATCATTTTTTATCTCTCTGCGTGTGTGTTTCGCTTCATTTGCGTTAATATTGAAGCAACAGCAGCAGCAGCAACGGCAAAAAAAGGAGACACAAATACTCATTCATTTCATTGCTTTCGTTGCAGTCGTTTCACTTTGCAATTTATGCTGGCGTATTGTTTTTCCATTAGGCACTTTTCTGTGGATTAGCACAAAATGTACATTTGTTTGTAATTCCATCTCTGTCTTTCTCATCGCGTTTGCCTCTTGCTCATCGACACTCTGATTATGATATATTTTTTTAATGAGAAATTGTGGGCGGCTAAATGGTAAATGCCTATCGCCACGAAAGCGCATGCGGCAATTGTACTAAGCATTATAATCCTAATGTTCAACCGACTTAATAACCATGCACATTTGGCCAGGAATATATTCACTTTCTCTCTTCGTTTTATCTGGATGGATATGCTATTTTTTTGTCGTTTTTCTTCTTTTCCTCTCGTTTGATTCGTATTCCCTTTTCTTCCCGAATGCAATGCGATTAAAATGTAATCTTTGACGCTTCACGTTACGCTCGGCCACATATCGCAGAATGAAGAGAAAAAAAGAACTTGAATGTAAAGTGTTTAGTTGATGAAATAAAGTGTGCATTTGTGGATATTTTTGGTGAGTCCGGAGACACAGAGCATGTGATTGATAAATTCAGCGGAACTACATCGGAATCAAGCAATTCTGGTGCGCGTCTACTATGGAATGTCCAATGTAAATAGGAGTGAAGCAAAGCGATAGAGAGAGAGAAAAAGCAACAACGAAGTTTTGCGGCGTTCTGCGCACACAATTCATGCATGAATGAATAAACTAGTTGGAACTATTCTCATTTGAATACAACACATTTCATGTGATTGACCATCAGCGATGAAAGTGCTGCCGCCGTCACCGCCGCCGCCGCACAATATCTATTGCCAATTCAATTCACGTATCATTTTCAATTCGAATACAATCACATGCATGTTGATTTGCTTTTCTACTTCGCTTTTATTGTGAGAATGTTGAAATGCTGCGTCATTTTTGCACACTTAAATATCCATAGATATATCTATTGTCATAAATTTATGTTTATTGCTATTCTCCTTCGGCTTTGCAGCTTCTCGCTTTTCTTGCAATCGATATCGTTTGGCTATACATTTTAATTTCCTTGAGCACAATTTTCGAATATTAAGATGTGATGGCGTCCTTTTTTAGTTCGAGCTGTGCTCAACGCCGGTGTTGCCCATTCAATGAACGACAACGCAAAACGCCGGAAGCACGCGTACCAACAACAATAACAATCTCGCCGCACTTTTATAAATATAAAAAACAAACGAAGAAAATAATGCGCAGCAAACAAATGTAATCAATTCACTTCTCAATGCGCCATCATAACATCATTCACAAAACATGGATTTTCTCTTCTTTTATCTATCTCTGTCTCTTTCTGTGTGTGTGTGTGTGTGTGTCTATCCCTCTCTCCATCCCTATCTCTATCCTCCTCTTTCGCTCGCCTGCTCGTTCTAATGGACGACCTAAAATCATGGCAACTCAATCGCTCGTCTTTCGTAGAAGAAATTTCTCAGTCCGCCCCATTGAATCGCTTCACAAGAAATCATTCAAACATGGAAATACGAACAGTTTTTTTCTACTTCTTCGCTTTTTTTTCGTCGATATAATATAATTATATCGCAATGTTTCTACTGAAATAAAATGCCATCCATACGTGAATGGTCTTAGTAAATGGTATTTAAGCACAATGCCATTGCCGCATCGCGAAGACTACTCTTCTTCGTCGTCGTCGTCGTCATCATCAGCGTTTGCCCTATTCCAAAAACGGTTTTCCGAGCAAATGAGCGAAATAAATCGTGGTCAGTTTTGAAGAAGAATCATAACAAAGGAATCGCGACACAGACAAAGAAAATAGGTGGAAAGAGGAAGAAATTTAAAAGAAGAAGAAAAAAAATAAGGCAAGAATGATGAGCTGAAGGTAGAAAGAACAATTGAAAAATAACAACACAACCAGATACATCATGATAATATATGTAATAACATGTTAAACATGCCAGCCATTTAATGACGACGACGACGATGACGAAATAATAAGCATATATACTTTGTCACACAGTCATGTTGGATTCCACTAACGTTGCATCGCGCGAGCGTTTGATTTGGTTGGTTCGAAGAGAGAGAGAGAGAGAGAGAGAGAGAGAGAGAGAGAGAGAGAGAGACCAGGTGCATGAAACACAACAATGACATAGATTTCTGAGAGCATATGCATGTGCTCGACTTGCTCTCAAAGAAAATTATAATAAAAACCGAACCAAACGAATGAAAAAAAAGAAGAAAAAATCACCACACACTGCAGATTGATCGAGAATGAAAGAGAAAGAATAAAAAAAAACACACACCGAATAACAAAAGAATGAAAAAAGGCAGCAAAATCGAGAGCGTTGTTTGTGCGGTACACACGCCACTGATTCTATTGTGTCAGAGCAGCGAATGTGAGATTTTTTCCCTCTTTCTCTCTCTCTCTCTATCTCTCTGGCTGTGTGTCTGTTGTCGGTGAATTGCGTGCGCGGATGTCAATAATCGCATTGAATGGAAATAGACCCATTGAGGTGGACGTAATACCGCTTTTTTTATATATATATATACATATATACGCATGCGACGATAAAATCACGCCTTTTAATGCGTGTAGAGCGCATAAAACAACTGACGCTCATCGAAAAGTCATTGATCTTCAAGTAGAAAAAGAGAATCTCGTCGTCTTGAATTCACTTAAGCTATAAAAGTGATTCGTTTTCTGCTTCGAAACAAACGAAAAAAAAATGCGCACCATTTTTGTGTACACTTATGCTTTGGAAATCGAGGAAAAATTATGAGTAAAAATCGGTGTATCCGATGATGTGACAGAGCCGTATGGGGCAGTGTTGCTCTCAAATTACGACACTGATTTTTTTTACGCCCGATGGAATAAATCAATTATGTTCACATTTTCCACGATGTTGTTCCACGTATTCTGTGAATACCATTGACTTTTTTCTACAAAAAATATTCAATTTTAGATCCAAGTCTTATCGATATGATTTTATTGTTGTCATTGGATGTATCGAGAGATCAGAGGTAACTCCGGGATGTATTCAATTCATATTTTTCATCGAAAAATAAATCAATTGCGTTACCCATACGGACTGTAGTCTTTATCTAATAATGAATCTGGACGTTGAACGGAATTTGGTCGTGGATTCTGGTACATGTTGATGATTGAAGCGACCGAATGCATTTTTTTTATTTTACAATCATCAGCCATATTGCCGGTTTAATATTTCCGATAGAATACTTTTGAACAGAAAACTATGTTGAAACAAAAAAGAAAAAAAATCCAACGTATTCAATCACAAATC